TATCAATTAGCATACCCATTGAACTTTTAGGTAAACTTTAGAGAATTAAAATAAAATATAGAAACTTTGGTCATGAATGTCAGAAAGGCCTAGTGATGGCAGTCAACAAAATGCATGCTTTTTAATACTTTTAGAGAAGCAAATTAGAGGTTTTCAATACATAACCAGTTAAATATATATTTATAATGTTGAAAGCTAGAACTCTGATCATATGTTACAAAAAAACCAGGACAACACCAGAACTAGGTAGGTCACAGAATTAAGTTTAAGAATAAGAATGGTCAACAGATTATGTCCTCTCTGAAACAACTTCATCATGTATATTAAAGTCAGTGTGTTAAATTTTAAGTAAGCATTTCGAGGCATCTCCTTGAATAGCTATATTCCTTTGTAAACTTACCAAAACACTATACCATAAGATGTGGCCTAGAAAAAACATTGACAGCAGTATGGTACAAATTCAGTGTAAGCTTTGGCTAGAATTGTACACGAGAGCACAGTCATTTCAAAGTAATACTCAACAACTAAGAGGGTGTGCTAAACATCTTGTCACATTCTAAGTGAAAAACTGGAATTCGTACAGCTTAAGCTCAAAACAGAAGCTTTGTAATAAATACCACTGTACATCTTACACTAAGTCAGGTTGCAAACACAATACAACACAGTACAAACAAACAAAAGTTGAGTTTGCTTTTTTGAAAAATAGAATGGAAATTCTATATTCATCTGACATGTTCCACGGTAAAATCTCAGTGTTGACTAGGAACTAAAAGTCCTTAAGTCTAAAGGCTTATGTTCTTACCTCTATTACATTTTTCCTTTGGTGAACCATTCCAATTTGAGATAATCCTGAATTTTTATTGTTATTTTAATGTTTCTTAGAAAATTCTTATTCTTGCACCTTTTACACTACCACATTCCTAGAGAATTTGGTACACTATGTCCTCATCTACAGCATCAAAAATTCTGAACAAGAAAGGCTGAGAGCAGAACTTGTCACACTAGAGACCTCTTTCCATACTGACAGTAATTCATTAACAGCACCCCAGGGTGGTAAGTGAAGAGGACAGAACAGGTGTCAGTTAGAGTTGGTTGGGTTCATGTAGCTTCATCACTTAAAAGCTTTGTGTGCTTTGGGGTAAGTTTCTTAACTTCTCTAAGCTTCAGTTTCCTCATCTGTAAATCAGAGATAATGCCAGAATCTATATATGGTATGATTAAATGTGATAAAGGATATGTATAGCTTAACCATTACTCCACATATAGCTTAAGACCTTAATAAATGTTAATTATTGATACTACCTTCATAAACCAACTCATATTTATTTGTTGTTTCTAGAAGTAATCTGTCACAGAAGAGTATGAGGAAAATTCAGACCAGTAGTATTCTGTATTTGTATGCCAGGGCAGTCATCTTTAGAACTGTATTCAGCATCGCTCTCAGGTTTTACAAGCTGTCATACTCAGGATCTACCTTTTCCTTATTTCCCCTAGTCTTCCAGAACACATCGTGGATTCACATTGTTCAACTCTGCCTATACCCAGTGTTACTTATCAATTTTCTTAATTATTCTATGTGATTAGTCATCCCAATCTTTCAAAACTTTTCTATGTGTCAAATGTACAACTCTCTTCCTCTCTAGGTAGGGCATGACATGAACTCTCTCACTTGTTCTTTACCACAAATGTTCTTCACACTCTTCATCTGTCTTCTCATTTCCTTTTGGGGAGGTCTTCAGAGGAAGACAAAGACCTGCTCAAGTTAGGGCAGAGCAAGAACATTATCACCTGGTACTTTAATACCATTTCCTTGACTTCCACAGGGGTTGATTTGTTGTTGTGTAGCCCATGAGCTAACAGTCTCTTTAACATTATTATTTCAAAAGCAACAAAGAAAAAATACATGACAGAGATGCTGTGAGGCAACATTTAAAATAATTACTAATTAGCCCTTTACTGAAAAGCCTGCCATCTTTTGCTCTGGGATCCTGCTCCATCAATTCTCTTCCTTGCACCCGAACCCCACA